AAAGGTCAAAAGAGAAACTATTAGTTAAGCGCATCGCGCGCGATTCCGGTAAAGTGCGCGCATTCCAAGTTAGCATGCGCGGCACAACAACTGAATTCGCCTCACATACTCAACAAGTTCCACTGGGGTTGGATGTTTTTCTTTTAGTTCTCCCAGATTTTAGGAACAGGAATATTCACGTAGGAACAGGAATATACACGTAGGAACAGGAATATACACGTAGACCTATACTTTTTAGGTGTCTACACTTGAACAATTTTATTACCAAGACAACTTTTACCGTGCTGGCTCGTCGAGGATGGTTTAGCCCACACTATCGCCTGGTATAAACTATAACTCTGGAAGTGATTATTGAAGTAGCCCTGGTCTATGGATCATAGGCTACGTAGTTACAATTCTTAAAGGCTACAAATGAGACAAAGAACGTTCACTTACCGGTCTAGTTACTCGGAGTATATCTCAACGTGTACCAGTCAGTCTGTGTCAGTTCTCAATCTGCTCTCACTGCGTGAAGGCCAATGTCGCCCTCTTGTGCCAGAAGCTTGTACGAGCTTGTCGTCCCCGTGTGAGAAAGCCAATGGCGCCCTCTTGTGGTAGGAGGCTTGTATGGGGGTGGGGGCAATTCCCACTACACTCCCCCCCGTTTTAAAAAACCCAGGACCAATTGAAGTAAACCCAGTGAAATATCTTACCCACAACCGGATAGAGGGGAGAAAAAAAAAAATTATGCGTTTCCCTCCCTTGTGGCCGTACAACATCCTAATCTAAAAACATGTATTAAACATGCCAAACTTGACCCCAAACGAGCAAAACACGGGGTAATACAACATGAAAATATTTTTGTTTTATTCATTAAAAAACCAACATACTTAATGCTTAACACTACAATTGCCAGGGGGAGATTCCCTACCCGAAACAATCCACGCCCCCATAGCGGGGAGCTATCCGCTTGTCCTCCCAGGCTACGACGCCATCTTACCTACCCGAGAGGTATATTACTCAAGTTTTTCGGAGTGTGACTGGAGAACCAGAAACCCACCTAGGTCACTCCGGCGCAGGAAGGAGGCGTCAGTTCCGCTATAGCACGGAGCGGGCCATTTGGAAAAAAGTCCCCCCTGGAACAACCAAAACATATGCCAACGGGCATTTAGGGAAAAAATACTAAAAATCCAAAAAACTTACTGACATACGGTATATGTTCTTGCTAATGTAGCAAAAACAAGGTGATAGGGACTAAATAGTTCCCACCCTCACACGCACCATGAAAACTTAGCGCTACAGGAACAGAAGTTCCCGTGCACACCCGACCTAACGGGCCATAGAGCGCTTGGGCGTTAACCCGAGTCTGCTCGAGGAGAGCCTGGAGACGGTTACCCCGTGTCCGGGCTACCAACTCTCTTACCTCCGCACTCTTCCCCGCCCCATGTAAGGAACAGGGTTTAGCAGTGGTCCAAACACAAAATCCCCTATCCGTTGGTCGATAACCCCAGTCACCCTCTTAACGGCATTGGGAGGAAGGATTACCCTCTTGCGGGCATACACCCTTGCTACACCCATCCGCCTGGGGTTATCCCCATGCTGCATGGGAATTTCCACTTCCCCTAGCAGTAACCTGGGATGATGCATGTGAATCACCGCCCTATGTTTATGGAGGAAATCCCTTCCCAGCAACATGTCGGCTGAAATGGGTGCAACATACAACTGCTTGGGGAACTCTTGTCCCCCCAACAGAATGCTCACCGGCCCCACTACTGACCCCCTCATGCTCATATTCCGTCCCGCAGCATGTAACACGGCCTCCCGCCGTCTTTCCGGCTGCGGTTCCAGGTGCTGTAGCACCCGATCCGAGATGATCGTCACCTCCGCCGCCGTATCTACTATTGCTTTAAGGGAGAAACCCCCTATCACTATTGGGATAGTAAGAGAGGAACTGGACTGTAGTCGGCAAACCACTACCTCCGCCCCTTCCTCCTCCGATTCCGGATCCGGGGCGGCATCCGGCTCCGGATCCAGGGCGGTATCCGGCTCCGGATCCAGGGCGGTACCCGGCTCCGAATCCGAGGTGACATCCGGCTCCAGATCCGAGGTGGCCTCCGGCATCGGGTCCAGCGACCCGATCATCTGTGGAGGATTCGAAGGTTCGCAAAATGTAACCTCCTCTATGTACTGGGAGAGTGCCTCGCCCAGCTCCGTGGTGGCTTCCATCAATCCCAACCCACCGGAACCAGGCTCTCCCACCTGACTTAACGCTTCCTGAGGAATAACCGCCCGACTAACCGGTGACCCGGTTAGTGGCTGGCCTCGTTCGGTTCGGGTCGGGGACTGGCCTCCTCCTCCGACCCGCTGGAGTTTCCCGATTCTCGGCAGTTAACACAAGAAACCCGCGCGTTCCCTCTGTCCCCCCGAGCTGTGGGGCATTGGTTCCGGTAGTGCCCTTGTCCCCCGCAAGCATAACACCGGTCACCCCCCGGGGACTTGGCTCTTTCCCGGGGAGCCGCCGGCCTTGACTGTAGGGTCTCTAGGAGCTTCCGGACATCCCGCTCTATGTTAGCTACCCGGGCCTCTAGGCGGCCCTGGCGCTCCACCATTCGGCGTTCTACTGCAGCGAGTTGCCCGTCTTCAGGTCGGCTAGGAGGTTGGGGGGATAAGTCCACTTGGCGGACTTCAATTTCCCCCGCATCCTCAAAGGCGACCGACTTACCTGGACGCACCCGCCCGTACATGGCCCGGTACACATGTTGGTGCCACTGAATATGCCTTACCGCTTCCTCAACGGTAGCGGGATGCTGAGTCAGCGCGTGACATCCCGCCTCCCGATTTAAGCACCCTTGGCACAGGCGGAGGACCGCCTGCTGTTGTGAATAGGGCCCCTGGACCCCGGTGAATGCTCGGAGAGCTAACCCGAGCACCCGATCGGACCATTCAGGCAGGGACTCCTCTGGCCCCTGCTTGGCAGACGCAAACTCGAGTTGAGCAGATTCCGGCAATCCGCCTTGGTCGAAGCGCTGCGCCATTCTTTGGACCAGCGTGAAATAATCCAGGAGCGGCTCTTGTTCCAGAGTCAGGCTCAAATAATCTCCCGCTTTCCCCTCTAGGCACCAGCTTAGCTGATTCACCCTCTGGGGAAAATCCCATCGCTGCTGGTCCGCAAACGCAGTGAATTTATGGAGGAAAGCCCTCCAGTTTCCGCGCCCATCAAAAAAGGGGAGTGGCTGGTAGGATACTCTATCCCTCCTGGGAGCAGGACCCCGACGGATCGGTCCTTCGGGAAAGGGGAGGGCCCCTTGGCCTAACCGACCCCTCTGATACCCTGGGATGGGACTGCCCCTCTGGGGCCTACCCGATACATCCCCTCGGTTAACCAAGGGAGACGGATATACATCATAGGGGTATTGGTGTCCCCCCACCTGGGCCTGGGCCCCGCAGGGGGTGCTGGTGCTCAGGGCACGCTGCCCCGACGAAGTGACAAAAACACTCTGATTGGGAACCCCCTCTGCCCCCCAGGTACTCTCCCGAGGAGCAAAGTCGAACCTGTCTAGCAGCCCCCTGGACTCTACTAGCCCTGGGGACGCCCAAAATAATCCCGGGGTAATATTCCCGTGTTCAGTCCGGAGACCCAACATGATCCCGGCCTGCACAGGAGCTAGCCCCGGCACGTCTGCGAGGAGTTCTTCAAAAGAACACCTATTAATAGGGATCTTAGCCTCCCTATATGTCATAGCGACCCCATAATCGCAAAAGCCTTAGGCCTAGACTAGTCTACTAAAATTACAACTAAGTTACGTCGGGGAAATAACCCGACGGAAAAATAAATTCCCTGAATTCTTAACTAGGTGCTGTTTACTCACATCCCTCCAACACGGATAATCACACCGCACGATTTTTTTTATTTATTTTTTTTTTTTTTTTTTTTTATTTTTTGAAAGGACTCCCGCACTACAACGAGTGAGTGGGTCCACACACAACACGCACAAAAACCATACACTCGCGCACCTAAATAACTACAGACAGCCTCCTGCTATCAACTACTAAAAGCAGGTCTAGGTCCTAGATTTAAGAGATCCAGGTCCCGTCGGCGAACAGCCAACAACCACAAACAAAATGGCGTCGATCGTGAGGAGAAGGACTAAAAAATATCCCTCCGCCGAATCAAATACGCTGTAGTGTGTAACAAAGCGCTGTGCCACGACCGGCAGGCTCCAAAACCTGCGCGCTCAAGAAATATAGCACTAGAAAAATGTTTTAAACCGGGCTAATATTACAGCCTGGCTCGAACTCACGTACAAAACAACCGCTCAACACAAAAAGATGCCTAATCAGACACCCCACACCACAAACAAAGTTCAAACACTCGCTACAGAAAATTCAAACACGCACACTCGAATCGCACTGCCCTCAAACCCCCAGTGAAAAAGTCCAGTCACGCATACAGCCGTGACGGAACTACACTTGGAGTTTGCGAGAGCAGACGACCGACCAAAAAAAATTACAGCAAAAATGTCCCAAACCGGGCTAATATTACAGCCTGGCCTGAAACACCCACACGAAACAACAAAGAATTATACACCAAAAATTACGAAATAGGCAAAGCAGAGTAATCCGCCCTGCCCAAGACGAAAATGAAGTAGCCCTGGTCTATGGATCATAGGCTACGTAGTTACAATTCTTAAAGGCTACAAATGAGACAAAGAACGTTCACTTACCGGTCTAGTTACTCGGAGTATATCTCAACGTGTACCAGTCAGTCTGTGTCAGTTCTCAATCTGCTCTCACTGCGTGAAGGCCAATGTCGCCCTCTTGTGCCAGAAGCTTGTACGAGCTTGTCGTCCCCGTGTGAGAAAGCCAATGGCGCCCTCTTGTGGTAGGAGGCTTGTATGGGGGTGGGGGCAATTCCCACTACATTATTCTGGATACATAAAAAGTAAAGGGGATCTATAGATCTAGACTCTAGATCAAGTCTAGATCTACTCTACAAACTAAACCGGACTATCGCCCTCGATCAAGCCCGAACTTGACAGTGACAATGGGGAAGAAAAGAGGCGGGCAGACGACTAAACGCAAAGATCGCGAGACCAGAGCATCAACACGGAATGTTAGTGTTACCACAGGACCCAGCACGAGAGTGACAAGGCCTAGTAGGGCCTACTACTAGCTCTAGGCCTACTAGTAGTAGGAGAGGGAGATACACGTCAAGGTCAATGCCAAGGGAGTCGGTGTCGCAAGATCAGCCAGTGACCGGCCCAGGGACGGTGGAGCAGGTGCCTGCAGCCCAGGCAGCAACACCCAGTCAGTCGTCGGGACGACCCTCGGTCGTGACACAACCGGGTGAGTTTACGACAAACAACCGTCAGCTTGACATTACAGGCATTAGATCTAATGAAAGCATAAAGACCAATTCAGCCCTCGTCCCTACCGTATCGTTCCCTTCCATAGTACCAGGGCGGGATGGAGGTCTAAATCCAGACCTGGGGGATCATGTAGACTTAGATCTAGATCTAGATCTAGATCTAAACCCGAAACCAATCGATCCGATCCCGTCTCCATCTCAATCCCCATCCCCATATCAACCTCAGTCTCAACAAGTCCCGATGCCATCTCCAATCGGACCAATGTCGCCCCAAACAGAAACCCTGGGTATCACGGTTCCCCACAATTTGAAAGAAAAAATATGGAAGGGAGAATACGTCGATTTTAACGGGTTACTAGGCAACCAGGGGATGACGGCTCGAGGGCAGGGATACGTTCCAATGGAACAGTGTCAATCGGGTTTTACTGTAGTTCAAACGGGACAACAACTCACGCTTAAACCAACAGTAACAGCAAGAAACAAGATCTACAACATTGAGGCGTGGACAAACGCCTTTTTGACATTTGCGAGTGTCTGTTTGCAGGCACATCCAAACTGCGCACAAGAGATCCTAAAATATTGCCACCTCATACGGTCGGCATCGAGCAAATACACGGGAGGCGATCACCAGCCAAACCGCATGAAGCAGATCTAGTAGATCTAGATAGTCTAGTAATACTACTGGGGATCAATATAACGAAGGAACATCAATGGCCAATATTAATAACGTTAACGTAAAGTCGGTACAAGATCATCAACTACACTCACTAGCTCCATCTCCCATTAAAGTAGAAAGACTAGTACTACAGTAGTAGCAGACTTTAGAAAGATATCCCAATAAAAAGGCAGCGCAATTCTTAGTAACCGGTTTCACCCAGGGCTTCATATTGAATTACAACGGCCCTCGGTTGCCTGCCGATCTACCAAATTTGAAATCGGCAGATCAGAATAAGGTAGCGACAAAAAAGAAAATCGATAAGGAAGTTACTTCGGGACGCTACGCAGGGCCATACGAGAAAAGACCCCTTCAAATTTGAGAGCAAGCCCAATTGGCTTAGTCCCGAAGAAGAACCCAGGGGATTTCTGACTAATAAATCACTTATCCTATCCGAAAGGGTACTCGATTAATGATTTCATTGCCGATGACGCATGCAAAGTAGAATACAGTAGCTTTGATACTGCCGTAGATTCAGTTTCTAGGACGGGAATAGGGGCCGAGTTAGCAAAAGAAGACATAAAATCTGCATTCACACTGCTACCCATATCAACCCAGGACTTTGAATTATTAGGAATAAAATTCGAAGGGAAGTATTACGTAGATAAGCGTTTACCAATGGGGATCCGATGCGCACCGGCATATTTCGAAAAATTCTCCTCATTTCTAGAATTCTGTGTGAGGGACAGGCTAGGAACAGATAGGATAGTTCACTACATGGATGATTTTTTAGCAGTAGGGTCGGCAAATGCAGGAGGTATTAAATGTTTAGGAATAATAACCAAATTTCGCTCAGTATGCAGTGAACTAGGTGTCCCTCTGGCTATGGAAAAATCGGAAGGGCCCTGTACAAAATTGACATATCTAGGCTTGGAGATCGACACCAGCGTCATGCAAGTTCGGATACCTGACGGTAAGGTAGCAGCCTTGAAACAGAAAATCCGCAGGGCCTTAGAACAAAAGTCTTTGGATCTGAGGAATATTCAGTCGTTAATAGGATCCTTGAATTTTGTTTGCCGAGCCGTACGGCCAGGTAGAGCGTTCCTAAGGAGGTTAATAGATCTCCTGAAAACAGAAGACGGGTCAAAGGGTTCACGGCGTTTAACGGATGGAGCCCGTGCTGACCTCGAAGTTTGGTTGTCTTTTCTGGAACAATTTAACGGGGTTACAATCATTCAGCCTAGGCAGTGGTCAACTGACTCAGACTTGAACTTATTCACAGATGCAAGCGGAGGCATAGGATTTGGCGGTTACTTTCAGAACAAGTGGTTCAGTGGTGCGTGGCCTCAGCACGTGTTGAAGGAAGATTACTCCATCCTCCTTCCAAAGGTTATAGCGTGGAAGGTTGTAGTTTACATTAATAAAATTGAGAGTGCTCTTCCTCATCTCTCACATGAAGCAAATTATTGTAAGCTGATCATAAGTTTTCAAAAAGTCATGTATACAGTGTAAAAAAAATAAAAATAAAAAAATAAATAAATAATAAACAAATAATAAGAAACCGATTATCGTGCTTACCAAATTATAGCACGGGCACAATATGATGCTCGTTTTAACCTTAACTACAAACAAGTCGAATAGAGTGGACTACGAATAAACATATGATCGTGAAAAGAATTATGTACATGTATACTGCCGAAGAACTCTTTTGTTTTCACCACAGGTACTCGAGCCCAACGGTTGTGGCTATTGGGGGATAGCTTCGTCAGGAGAGCCGGCGAGAGGGCATCCTGGACAGGCAACCACAACCTGGGAGTAAATGCAAGCGAGGTTAAATGGTTTGGCAGAGGCGGCCTAACCCTACACGAATTTCCGAGAGCTCTCCAGGACTTACTAAGGTACAACCCAGCTCCTACCATCATGATCATTCACGTGGGTTCGAACGACCTCGGCCGCTATGGAGCCAAGCAATGTCGACAGGCATTAGATGATGCCCTCACCACAGCCCGGGAACTATTACCGGGGTGCCACATTTCTTTCTCAAGCATAATACCTCGTTTGTTCTACTATGGATATGGCCGTACAGTGCACTCGCAATCAGCGATTGATAAGGTGAGGAAATCCCTGAACAAATATGGTAGAAGAAAGATCAGGCATGGGGGTTCATCGCGCAAGAACACCAATACTTCAACAGGGACGGGATACACCTGTCGGACAGTGGATGTGACATCTTGATACAGAGTTTCGCAACGGCGGCTCGAATGGCTGGGTTAACTTAAAACTTGAAATCTCTGAGAAAACGCCGTTTAAATATAATGACTCCCTCAAAATAATGCACGTGAGTCTTGCGACCCAACGCTTTAACATTTAAGCTGAATATAAAGATCATTGCAAAGTGTATATACATGCACATGTAAATAGAACAAGGCAGAATCTGATTTGGACCATGATATGGCTCGTTGACGCTGCTATCAGGGTTGTTTTGTTGTTGGTTTTGGTATGGCAGCTCGTCAAGTATACCTACATGTATATTTCTAGTTTAGGGAATAATGCCAAAGATAATAAGATAACAGTGGATTGTACAGATGAATACGTACATGTAAATAGACGTTCGATCAAAATAGGACAGTCGACTAATGACTGAATCTTATTTGAGGCTGTGCAGCTCGACTGTACACGGGCAAACAGGTTATTATTGTCTTCAACATAGTGATCGTGTTTAATTGATTTAACGTGGATTCATAAATCGTAATTGTTCATTTCAATTTTGCTCGGCAAAGTCACATAAAATGTGATAATGGTGCAGAGAATTTAAGCACCTGGCTTGGTATTAAGGTTTGGGAACCGATGGAGAAAAATAATAAAAATAAAATTGTTAGTATTTTTGATAAATGCCCTTAAAGAGATGACTATAGTTTGCTTTGTTTGAATGGGTCCAAGTGACAACAGATAACATCATTTCATTTAATTGTTCGTCCGTTTATGGCAGAAAGTAACAATTTAGAAAACAAAACAGACAAAACTATTTAAGAGGCAAAAAAAAAAAAAAAAAAAAAAAAAAATGGTTTGTATTGGCTGTTTGGGGTTGAAAATTGTCAAGGTTGCTTATTGCTATTGATATTTATGTTAATTGTTGTTCATAACAGGGGAGAGCGGTTTGCCCAATGGCAAGGAGGGGCTCTCAGTAGGAGAGGTTGTTTAGGGGAATCCGTATCTCAGGAAACTGGGACTTCGGTTGGTTGTCTTCCTCCCGGCTGGTCACGTGACCCGGGTTCCCCTACTAGTATCTCGTTTTTATTTAGCCTCTCCCCTCTTCCCTGTACAATAGTGCGGGTACAGATATCGCCCCTTTTTAATTTCATTGCATTTCTGTTATTTGATTGTGACATTAATTGTTGGACGGTTTGAAAGGGGGAAATTCTATCCCCAGTGGAATAAATGTTGAGAAAATGGCAAACAATGTATCCATGTTGTATTTCTTCTCACAATTCGATTATTCGAGTTATCGAATCAGCGCATTTGTGAGAGAATGCAACGTAAACAATATAGTTCAGGGTCAAAGTTGTTTACGCTAGCAAAGTGCAGAAAGGTCAAAAGAGAAACTATTAGTTAAGCGCATCGCGCGCGATTCCGGTAAAGTGCGCGCATTCCAAGTTAGCATGCGCGGCACAACAACTGAATTCGCCTCACATACTCAACAAGTTCCACTGGGGTTGGATGTTTTTCTTTTCCCGCCTCCCCACCCTTCTACTCCTCAGACAATAAGAAAGGAAGAAATAAGAAGTAGAAAGTGAAAGAGCTAAAAGAAAGGGGGAGGGAAATGTACACAGCAGGGCTCGGGGAGGATAGATTTGAGACATATGGCCAAAAACAAAAAAGCGATGATGATGGTTGGTTTGGCTAGTATGCTTTTAATGAATGGATGGTTGGCTGGGCTTGTAATAATTCGTGTTATGGTTGGCTGGATGGGCTTGTATTCTTAATTGGAACAAAGTTTTGGTTGGTTGGTTGGGCTAGTGATGTTCCAATAAATGGCTGGTTGGTTGGGCCAGTAAGCTATTAATGAATGAATGGTTGGCTGGGCTAGTATAATGATTCGTTTTAAAGTTGGCTGGATGGGCTTGTATTCTTAATTGGAACAAAGTTTGGTTGGTTGGTTGGTTGGGCTAGTGATGTTCCAATAAATGGCTGGTTGGTTAGGCCAGTAGACTATTAATGAATGTATGGTTGGCAGCTGGGCTAGTAATAATTAGATTAATGGTTGACCGGATGGGCTTGTATTCTTAATTGAAACAAGGTCTTGGTTGGGTAGTTTGGATTGAAGATTCATCTGAAAATTCGGTTTTGGCATTCTTTATTTTGAAAATATGCTGAAGGGTTGTGGCTCGTAGAGCCTTCTTGGACGCATTTTAAATAAATGGTTGGTTGGTTGGGCTAGTATGCTTTTAATGAATGGATGGTTGGCTGGGCTTGTAATAATTCGTGTTATGGTTGGCTGGATGGGCTTGTATTCTTAATTGGAACAAAGTTTTGGTTGGTTGGTTGGGCTAGTGATGTTCCAATAAATGGCTGGTTGGTTGGGCCAGTAAGCTATTAATGAATGAATGGTTGGCTGGGCTAGTATAATGATTCGTTTTAAAGTTGGCTGGATGGGATTGTATTCTTAATTGGAATTGGTTGGGCCAGTAAGTGTTGTGGCTCGTAGAGCCTTCTTGGACGCATTTTAAATAAATGGTTGGTTGGTTGGGCTAGTATGCTTTTCATGAATGGATGGTTGGCTGGGCTTGTAATAATTCGTGTTATGGTTGGCTGGATGGGCTTGTATTCTTAATTGGAACAAAGTTTTGGTTGGTTGGTTGGGCTAGTGATGTTCCAATAAATGGCTGGTTGGTTGGGCCAGTAAGCTATTAATGAATGAATGGTTGGCTGGGCTAGTATAATGATTCGTTTTAAAGTTGGCTGGATGGGCTTGTATTCTTAATTGGAATTGGTTGAGCCAGTAAGCTATTAATGAATGAATGGTTGGCTGGGCTAGTATAATGATTCGTTTTAAAGATGGCTGGATGGGCTTGTATTCTTAATTGGAACAAAGTTTGGTTGCTTGGGCTAGTGATGTTCCAATAAATGGCTGGTTGGTTGGGCCAGTAAGCTATTAATGAATGAATGGTTGGCTGGGCTAGTATAATGATTCGTTTTAAAGTTGGCTGGATGGGCTTGTATTCTTAATTGGAACAAAGTTTGGTTGGTTGGTTGGTTGGGCTAGTGATGTTCCAATAAATGGCTGGTTGGTTAGGCCGGTAGACTATTAATGAATGAATGGTTGGCAGCTGGGCTAGTAATAATTAGTTTAATGGTTGACCGGATGGGCTTGTATTCTTAATTGAAACAAAGTCTTGGTTGGGTGGTTTGGATTGAAGATTCATCTGAAAATTCGGTTTTGGCATTCTTTATTTTGAAAATATGCTGAAGGGTTATGGCTCGTAGAGCATTCTTGGACGCTGTAATTAATATTATTTGTCTGCGGTACGATTGTATAGCAGACAAATGTTGTTTGTATCGTTAATGAATGCATACTTATGTTGGGTCCGGGGCTGTGCCCCGATGGAATGTAATTTGCATAGGCAGCTCGTACAGGTGTGCGAGCTGATTCTGCCACGGAGACCAGGGCGTGGCATGAATTAGTGTGTAATTGAATCACTCTAGCTTGAACTTTCAACGAGACAACTTTTATTTACAATAAAAGTGCGTTGTGTCATGTAGTGTTACAGTATATGACTGTGTTTGAATAAGGTTTTCCAGAGTTTTTATGCTCGTTGAGTTTTATCTCTGGTTTTTTATCCTGGACCATGATAGGTCCGGTTTCCAGTGAGGGAAACGGTTTCCAGTGAAGGAAACGAGAAGAAATGTTTGTTAAACATTCATACTGAATAAACGGTAGGCTCTCAGTAGTCGTTGTCAGGCTATTCCACAATAATTGAAGTGTATTATTGTGTTATTTGTGTGTATTGGGAGTCAAGAGGGATGACAGACGAAATAATATGTGAGATTATAGGACAGACGTAGATATAAGTGCCCAGATAGATGTATCGAAGCTTATCATAACTCATCCTGCTATGAAATTATTATATGTATGTTTGGGGTTGAAAATTGTCAAGGTTGCTTATTGCTATTGATATTTATGTTAATTGTTGTTCATAACAGGGGAGAGCGGTTTGCCCAATGGCAAGGAGGGGCTCTCAGTAGGAGAGGTTGTTTAGGGGAATCCGTATCTCAGGAAACTGGGACTTCGGTTGGTTGTCTTCCTCCCGGCTGGTCACGTGACCCGGGTTCCCCTACTAGTATCTCGTTTTTATTTAGCCTCTCCCCTCTTCCCTGTACAATAGTGCGGGTACAGATATCGCCCCTTTTTAATTTCATTGCATTTCTGTTATTTGATTGTGACATTAATTGTTGGACGGTTTGAAAGGGGGAAATTCTATCCCCAGTGGAATAAATGTTGAGAAAATGGCAAACAATGTATCCATGTTGTATTTCTTCTCACAATCAATAAATATTAACATTCTAATCAGTTAGCTTTTGCTGTAATCCTTATAATAGATATTTAATACGCGTCATTAAGAGGCGTAGCGTGGGTACTTTCGGTGAGGGGGCACTGACGTCATGGGGAGGATGGGGTCACCGGAAAAAATCAAGGCCTACCCCCCCCCCCTCTCTCTCTCTCTCTCTCTCTCTCCCTCTCCCTCTCTCTTTCTATAGGCCTAAGTGCGCCCTCCCCCATGCTTATGTAGCTACACCATCACCTGTAATAACCCTACCATCATCGCTGGTCTGTGGTATAATTCTCGCAAAAAACCTTCTTTCATTCATATCTTCTCTGCTATTGAAATCCTTGCATCCCATGTACGGTGTGGGCTTGAATTATTCAATTTATTTGTTTCCTTTTCACAACGGGCACATTTACCCCCAAAAAGGCTTGCTTTGGGGGCGAGCGGTCGGGTGGGCAAGCATTACATGATGACACCTTATTGCGTTGTTTTCGCTTGCGGAATTCCAGGTAGTTGTATCATTATACTTGACTTCGAACAAGTGGCATTCGAAAGATCAAATAAATCGCTCGGATTACGATCTGAGTGCCGGGAGTAATCGGAGTTGGAGTATCACCAGACAACGCGAAAGAGGTAAAAAATAGCGGAGGGAACGTTTCGGTACTGAGATTGTAAGAGAAAGATAACTCTACCCATCAACTGTTTACTTTAAAAAGAATAGAATGATGCGCCTGTTGTTTAAATGTCAATTTTACATTAATAACTCGGAATTTGTTTTGCTAGTCGGCTTCATAGTTTCTTCTTTTTTCACCACTCTCTGGTGCATTCTCATATCATTGATTAATCTTTGTGTGGTGAAAGTAAATACCAATCTTACAGCCTGATATACCACAGCGAAGGTAGCTAATGTTATCTTTCATGG